GTAGTTATTAGAATACTTTTTAAAAATGAATTAGGGGATTTTTTTACAAGGTTCTACTTATTCCAGTAAGTAGTAATAAGTAAAAGAGTATTCCCGATGTTATGCTTACCGTCGTAGATCCAATTGCTCGTTCGGGTGGCATGGATACAGTCTCTTTGCCATGGGTGTAAGTTCGGCCTCACGTGGAACACTATTCTCATATCTGGGCCGTGGCACCCCACTGCCAGCTTCTTCCACTTGATCACATCCAGCGCAGTGCGGTTCGAATCGTCAGCGGCCTAGTACTTTCTGATCGCCTTGACTCACTGGCGCTGCGAAAAGATATTGCATGTATTTGCATATTCTATCGCATCTAACACGGGGAGTGCTCAGAAGAATTGTTCGGACCAATTCCAGCCGCTCAATGTTCACCATCATACATCACAACAAAACTCGCGATACCATCCATACCATCTGGATGATTGTTGGTCCATCACTAATGCCATTTGAATGAATGAATGAATGAATATACTTTTATTGTACACCACGAACAAATATACAAATGTCATAACAAATCAGATTATAATATGTACAATTTGGCGGCCTTATCGCTACATAGCGATCTCTTCCAGGCAACCAAAGGTGTAAAGTAATACAAACAATGAATAGGTAGGTGGTAGGTGGTGCAATATAAATATACAAATAATAAATGCAAAAAAAAAAGATATAAATAACTAAGTAATACATGAAATAATATAAATTACTAACACATAATAAAAGATAAGGTAACACATATAATATATACATATACATACACATATACACATATACACATATACATACATATATACATACACACATATATATATATACATAAATATACACACAACACGTATATATCAATATATATATATATATATATATATATATATATATATATATATATATATATATATATATATATATATATATATATATATATATATATACCTATATATATATATATACAAAATTCCTCAAACAATAATATAAAGCTGATAGATACAATAAATACATAATCACACAATCTATCCTAACGGTGTCCGAACGATTGAGACAAGTAATGCTCTTTAAGTAATCGCTTAAAGATAACAATAGTTTGTGCCTCACGTATATGCAAAGGTAGGGCATTCCAGAGCTTAATAGACTGGACAGTAAAAGATTTATTGAAAAATGATGTATTGTGAGTTGGCACACTTAAAATGAATTTTCTAGAAGAGCGTAAAGGTTCCCCCGGAAGCCCCACAAAATTAAACTTCTCCTTTAGATAGGGAGGAGTAGAAGGGTGAAATAATACACAGTACAGAATAGAAAGTATATGCATGTTCCGGCGAAGTCGGATAGGTAACCACTTGAGACGTGAGCGAAATTGGGAAATATGGTCAAATTTGCGCAATCCAAATATGAACCGAATACTAGTATTTTGAAGTCTCTCAAGCTTATTTAGCTGGTCCTCAGTTATGTCTACATAGCTTGCGTCAGCATAGTCGAGAATCGGAAGGAGAAGAGACTGTGCGAGCATAATTTTTGTAGGAATGGGAAGAAATGATCGAAGGCGACGCAGTGAACAAAGAGCGACAAAAGTTTTCTTACTTACCTCATTCAGTTGGCGTATCCAATTTAAGGAATTATCAATATAAATACCAAGATTTTTGACATTGTCAAAGTAACAACTCCATCGAATACGATAGGTGGTACAGAGAACTAGTCAATTCTTGAGATAAAGCTCTGGCTACCAATAATGATAGCCTGAGACTTTTTAGGATTGACATTTAGGCCATATGATTTACTCCATTTGCTAGAAGTTTCATTCCTTTTTTTTGAGATTTTTTCCGGACCAATAAAACTTAGGGACCTTCAAGAAAAGAGCCTACTCTCTTTTAAAAGGCCGGCAACACATCTGCGATTCCCGTGGTGTTGCAGTTCATGGGCGGCTGTATTCACTTACAATCAGGTGAGCCGCATGCTCGTTTGCCCCCTCTTATATAAAAAAATGGGGCTACAGCAAGATAAAAGTAAACCTGAAACCAATTTAAATTAGTAATTAAACTATGTGCATAATCTATACAAATAAATAAAATTGAAGTGTCTGTTTGTAATGTCAAAATTACAGTTTTTTACTAAATGCATATGAAAGTAAATACGGTACCTATAACTAAAATACAATTTTAAAATTTTTGTCTGTCTGTTTGTTTGAAACGGCTGGACTGATTTTGACGGGACTTTCACTGGCAGATAGCTGATTTCACAAGGAGTAACTTAGGCTACTTTTATTTTCGAAAAAGAATTAGGGTTCCGCGCAAAAACATAAAAACCCTAACACGCGAGCGAAGTCGCGGGGTAACAGTTAGTTAATTATAATTTTTAATCAAATATATAAAAAATTATGTTTGTTTGTTCGTATTTTATGCGCTGAGTTCCGTTCATCAGATTGAGGTAAAACTTTGTCATTTTATTGCTTGCACTTGCATCTATTTTCTGCGATGTAAGTGCTGTTAGCCTGTGCGGCTCTTACAGCTTTATCTGTCACAGGGATGTCCGAACCCCCGCCTCTGACTGGTTAGCTCGTGTCGGTCGATGTTCTGGGCGGTGAGAACCGCCCAGGTACGCGGGTGTACGGTGTGTACGCGGTATGTACACGTTGTGCGCGCCTAAGTGCGACGCACCCCATCCGTTAACCTGCTTGTTGGTGTAGTGTAAGTGTTTGATGTGCCTGCGACGTTTGGGTCGACGGGATCGAGCGAGCTCTTGCACTTGCGCGACCGACACATTTATTTGAAAGTTATATATAATTCAATTTCAATAAAATTATTTATCATTCCTAATTAAACTATCTTCCGAATTTGAAAAGATGTTTCCACAATTATTTTTTCTGCGGCAGCCACGCGCCGGGACCTACTAGTAATAAAAAGTAAGCGGTGAAATTTTTAAAATAACTCTATCTGCGAATTGTCTAAGCTGCTGATGACAAAGAGGCTGATCTATTTTTTCGCCCAAAGGATACTAAATGGTAGGACTAGTTTTCTGCCTAGGAGTCCAACTGGGTAGATACTACCCCTTATCTATTTCTGCTGGCAAACAGATCCTTTTACTGCTGAATTCCGGTCTAAAGGAGCTAAAGAATCTTTTTAATTACAGACTGTGAGGTATTCTATCTCAGTCCACAGATGTGACAATGCATTTGTAACCTTTTTTTTTTGAAGTCTCCATAGTACTGTATTTAACAGATAGAGCCAGTGTTCTTGGCACTTTACCTCGCAGCTGTAAGGGCATATGAAAATTTGTGTTTTTCATTGTTTCATACATTATTGTATGCATTTTGTTATGCAAATAAATGCAATTGTAATTTGAAACTTTTCAAAACGTCTTACCACGTGGATTATAGAATCAACCCGAACAAAGATTTGCACTACAGAGACTATCGGTTCCTAAAGAAACTGCGCAGTCTATCCACGACTCTTCGTCGCTGGTAACAAAAGCACTAGTTCTTTTCTCGCTCAAAGATTAAGTTTAGCCCTTCAACGAGGAAACGCAGCCAGAGCTCTTGGCACTACTGTTACCGCAGGTTTTAGGACTGTATGCTTAGAATTTTTTTATTTAACTTTTTTAAGAAGCTCTTTTAAGACTATGTACATAAATATAACGTTAACTTCTTAACGTTTATCGCCATTACTAATTTAAATGTACAAGTTACTGGTTATGTAATGTCGATAATTTTTTTTTTATAAACGAATTACATGGATTTTATGCATTTGTTCATTAGTAGGTAGCACAGACACCTGTCGATAATGAATTATTGTAATATGAAAAATATTTCGGTGAGTACCTATGCTTCTTTTGTTCATAATAAAAGTTCGAGTACTGGCTATTTATACATATATTTAAATAGGTGTATTTTTTTATTAAATTTTGTACTAAAAAAAAATTTATACCACGTTTTCTTCCTACATTGGCATCCAATTCTGAGCAATGTTCAAAATTTCAAGTATCTAGTTCATCGGGAAGTCCTCGAAATTTGAGTTGCATGTATATCCGGAACGACAGAAATACAAAAAACAAGAAAGTGACTTAATAAGATCGTGGTAAAAATAGAGACTTTTGACTGTAGAATAAATAGTATAGAAAATAATATCTTTATGTGCTCGTAATTGAGAATTCTCGTATATTATGTGTGCATTATAACCATAAAGCCCTATAACATTATAACTGTTTGTGCATAGTTTTAAATTGTATTTAAAATAAATGCTCATTATCGAAATATTACGCTTATTAATTCACATTTAAACAGTAAAAACGATTGCGTAATAGTGTATTTTTATATTCTGTAATAATTAAGTACGTAGCTCTGCCACCTTGCTGATACCTGGAGTAGAAATGTCTTTGTGATTATTTTTACTTTTTTTCCAACTGTTCACAGTAATGACACTAAGTAGAGCCAGTTTTAAAATATTAAGAGCTTTTCAAACTCGCATGATGTCCATGCCAATGAACCATGTTGAGTCCACAACACACACAAATCTAATTATCTGATGATCTGATTGATCTAATTTTATCCACGATTGATAATGTCTCTGTGTAACTTCGGCCACGGATTTAATACAATTTATAATTAGTATAACCTAAATGTAATGGTATGATATTGAATATTACATATAGGTATATTCATATATATATAAATATATATACACGGTTCTGCAACATCGACTTCCTAATTTCTAATATTTTTTTTAACTAAAAACTTGGTATATTGAAGAAAGTCCACGAACCCACTATTTTTCAATAATGCAAAGAGAAATCTGCAGTCTGAAAAATCGCTTCTACTACAGTCTTGATAAGCCACAGGAAACGGTTTTGGATTTGAGCAATATATTAATACGTAATATACACTGCTTACGTAATATACTAGCTTACCAACTTATACGCAAATCTGGATATGTTTTTATCTACCGTTTTGCATAATCTGATATAAAATTTTGTTACAGTTGACGTCAGCTCTTATAATCTCAGTGGGGACAACAATTTATGCCATCTATCACGATGTTTCTTATTTCTTGGACGACCAGCTATTCTCACCAGCAACCTTCATCATCGTCATCGGCGTTATTATGCTATTCGTGTCGCTGTTCGGTTGTGTCGGTGCCCTGAAAGAAAGTACTTTCTTGGTTAACATTGTAAGTATATTGCCAATATCGTCAAATTAAATTTAATCTGTGATACCATATACGTCTCCTAGTTGGTAAGATTTCTTTTCTAGCCTAGAACTGCACTCTCTTACTTATTTCTATCACCAAGGAGTACATATACTGCTCTGTCGGTTGGAAGGGAAATCGAGCTATTATTAATACTAGCGGAGGGGTATTTAATTTTAATCAATTTTAACTATCAGTTGTGACAACGCATTGTTTAAAGTTAGTTACAGTAACAGTTACGATATTACAAGTATTTGCCGCATTTGAAGGCTTAGTTTTGGCGGTTGATATTGAATTTCGGGCACGATCCTAGTTAATCACGACTATTCGCGGACTCCTCGCTCACTATTTTTTAAATACATACTCGTAGGCGTAGGTTGCAAATGTTTTACTATTATCCTTTTCACACCATTAGAATCAAAATATTACACATCTTTGTTAAAAAGGTTGTTGTCCTTTATTAATAAGATTGTTAGAAAAAAAGGTTTTTTCATGAAAATTATGTCATCTAAATTGTTAATGGGAACATGCTGTACTAATTTATTGAATAAGAAGATTTAAATAAAGGTTTAGGAGTATTTCATTATTGCGTTTTACCAGGCCTAATCAGGCCACTTTCGACAGGCCTTTTTATGAAAACTCAGGCATTATAGTCAATCTAGACAGGGATCCCTCAATTTGTTGTGCTTATTGAAGGTGTCCACAGGCTGCGACGGACAACACTAAAGGCATGGCAAGTGGGGGTTGGGATATCTTAAACCGCCATCACAAGACAAATAGCCTCTATAATATCCATATTCGAAATGAATGAGAGTACTGTTGGTCAGTTCGCAGTGATCCTCAGTCTGGTGCTTGTGCTGGAGATAGCAGCTGCTATCACGGCGTACACAATGCGCGCCCAGGTGTCCCAGATGCTAGACGATAATCTCAGAGCCACGCTTCCTTTCTACTACCAGAACTCTGAGATCGAGGCCGCTTATGACTTTGTTCAGAGCAGGGTAAGTCAACTTAATTTTCGTTAGTCAGGGACTTATTTCTTTAATAATATATCCGGTTAAAATTTGTTTTCTTCTTTTCAAATGTAATATTAAATAACACCAATGCCGGACATATACCAGCGTAATGTAGCAGCTTAATGAAAGTAAATAATGAAAGTTTATTGTTCCCAACATATACTTAAATTAGTACAAGTTTGAGGACTTCTTTTAAGTATAAAGATAGTTGTGGTGGAAGGTCTTAATTAAGTGTCTTAAGCCACTGCATTTTTTTTTCTTTTAGCCATATGTCTTTAATAGATATATTTGCAATACTTTATTAATCTGATTGTATAAGTGTCCTGATTGTTTGTCATATTGATGTTTTGCAAAGGAGGTTTTCATTTTCCAAATAGGAACTACGCTACAATTTTTATTTTTATTACTGTAAGTAGGATTAAAAGCCAAAGACTTATGTTTTTTCAATAAAGTGTGTAATATTTACAAATGCCTTACCGAAATCTGAGCAAAAAATTAAAAACATTTCTGAGTTCTCTCAACTTCAATAAATTTACTTTTGTAAGTAAAAAAATTGGTATAAGTACAATATATTATAATGGATTGAGTATGCGCTACATATATTTGATTGAAAAGATCTAAACAGGCAACATTTCTTAAAGTTTTAAATATCTAAGTGAGCTTTCGAATTCTACTAGACCCTAATTCAACATGCCTGTACCAGGAAAATTGCTGATGCACCATAACGCCTAGATACTTTGTATATGAAACTTTTTCAATAGATGTACACGTTAAGTTACCGCTGGAGGGATTGTTACATTTATGTATTTTGATTCTAAAATAATCCTTTGTTTGTTATCGACTAGTCATAGAAAAACATATGAATTGAGTTTTACTAACATTCAAAGGAAGTTATTGTAAGCAACCTTAGCTAATTGTTTTTCCGCTATTAACTGCACTTCTTGCCACGTGTCTCCCGAAAACAACATCGCAGTGTCACCTGTGTATGAGAAAACTCTCCCCCTGTTCACACTCATAGTACATAGATTATTAATATATACTAAGAATAGCGTAGGGCCCAAGACGCTTCCCTGCGGTACTCCATAATTTACATTTATATAACTACTAGTGTATTGACCTATTCTTACCGTCTGCATCCTGTCAGAGAGATAGTCCTTTAAAAGTTTTAGAGGCATTTCTCTGATTTCAATCCGTTTTAATTTATTAATAAATATAGGGATTGATACAGTATCAAAGGCTTTTTTAAATCCAGGAAGACAACAAGACATTTTATACCGTTATTTAAGGTATTAACAAATTTGAGAACTTAACACAGCAACTGCATCTTCCGTAGAGCATCCCTTTCTAAAGCTAAATTGAGAGACTGCTAATATGTCAAATTTAGAGAGATACTGTATAAGTCTGTTGTTAATTAACTTTTCCAAAATCTTTGAGAAAACAGGTACCAAGGAGATTGGCCGATAATTACTAACTTCTTTCTTTTCTCCAATTTTGTAAATCGGAATTACAATAGATCGCTTCAGTGGCCACGGAAAGACAACCTTTTAAAAACAGATATTAGCAAAATGGCAGAGGATGGGGACAAGTAGTTGTTTAGCCATCTTGAGAAAACCCTTTAAAATATTGTCTCATCCAGGGGCGGAATCTAATTTGAGACATGAAATAATACTATTTATCTCTTCCGGTTAGATTTCCATCAATACAAAGGAAGAATGTGCCTTTACAGATACAGTTTCATGTACTAGATCAATATGGCAAAATGATAAACAAATATTAGGATTGTTAGTATTTATGTTCTCGGCAAGATTTTTACCCACACTAGCAAAGTACTCGTTTACTTTATTAATCGAATCACCTGGTGAAGATTTCGAACTTAATAAGTCTAAACTATTAACACATGATTGTCTTGTATAAGTTATGTTCTTTATGTGCTTTCAGAGAGATTTAGTTGATTTGGTTGATATTGCTAGAAGTTTCTTTCATACTCTCGTTTAAGTTTCTTAATTAATTTAGTAACATAGTTGCGATACCTTTTATATGTATTTTTAATATTTCATTATAAGGATCCAATCTTAGCTTTCTTTTGCATACAATTCCTATTTCGTATACATTTTAAAATGCATGTTTAATTTTTCGCTTCTTACCAGGATTATTTACTATTTTTGTATTTTCTTCAATTGATTCTCTTATTTTATAAATTAATTGATCTATGATATAGTCCGGATTATCATAAAAAAAAAGGTTTTTGTGCTAGACTAGCAAGTGCTTTATGAAAGTCAGTGTTACATTTAACTTTAATATTCATTGCGTTTTGTTTAATATTATTTAATTTTGGTAACATCATAGCATGATCTGTGATAGTAGTGTTCAATACAGCAATCGGAGTAAAAATAGTTTGTTGATTTAATTTTAGCATAAAGTGATCCAAGCAGCTGTTCACTCTTGTAGGGATATGATGTCCCGGTGAAAACCCATACGTAGAAAGCATACGTATATTTAAGTAGTTCGATCTATTCGTTCTTTCGTATGTAAGTAAGTATATATATATATATATATATATATATATATATATATATATACTTACTATATATATATATATATATATATATATATATATACTAGCTGGCTAGGCAGACGTTGTTCTGCTCTTTCCGAAGACCATTTAATTTCCTAAAAAAAAACTCCTGAAATTAGCAATAAAAAATTGAGGGTCACTTATCGGGATAGAAACTATCCTATCTCTCAAGATGGATCAAACTGCACAGAGTGTGCAAAATTTCATTGAAATCAGTTCAATCGTTTAGGAGCTCATCGCGGACAAACAACGTGACACGTAATTTTTATATATAAGATATGTATATTAATAATAAAAATAATCTCATATATATATAATAAGTGTAATATTTATAATAATATCTCCTGTTATTACAAAATTTGAATGATATTTTAACGAGTCCAGATGTTTACTAAGAGAACTGACGAATTGCTTTGCATTGGTACACGATGGTGACCTATATATATGCCCAGTACTACTAAGTTTTGTAGTTGGATTTGTATGCAAGATGCATGTACCAAATTTATTTCTTTAACATGAGAAGAAATATTTATCTTAATATAAACCACTACTCCATCATTTTGCTTCAGGTGATGATAAGTATTATAGACATAGTAGTTATCTGGACGTGGAATAGGTTTGATAGATTGAATCCTACATTCTGTTAATATTAATATATCTGCATTAACTTTTAGAGAAGTTAATGTCAGTTGAAGATCTTCATAATTGGAGTAAATACTTCTTATATTCTGAGATACAATTATGAAGTCTGTATTTCTAAATTTTAAATATTTATTAAAATCTTCTACATAAAATTTACACGCAAACGCTATCGCTATATTGTCCAATTCTTGTAAATTATTGAAAATATTTTGTAACTTGTAACTTTTTGTAAAAAAAACAATCACAAAAATACTTGCGACACGAACTTAGTAACCCAATAAATAATTTTAAGTACATAATAAACTTTTTAATATAAAATACTTTGTTTTCAGTTTTATTGTTGTATGAGAGATAATTTGAAGCTAAAAATACTCTAATAAATGTATGACTGTGAATTAAGTGCGTGAATTGAGATTTGATGCTCTTGAGTTTCGTATGGTGAGTGTAGAGAACCGCAAACCCTTTTTATTGAAAACAAGGCATTCCATCTTAATCCTCAGGGTTGAGACAACGCATATCCTTTTTGTTTCTTAATCGAGGATAAATATAAATTTCTATGGGCCACAGCACTCCACTTACCATCAGATGGGCTGTGGCTCGTTTATCACCTTAATTCTATAAAAAAATATATAGTCTCCAAGAATTGACAACCGATGGGAAAAAATCAATCTCGAGCGTTGTATCGGCCGCGCTGTTTGGTAGTCTTGGGGAAAAGCCGTTGTAATTACGATGATTACATTTTAGCGTGGTAAGTGATTATTCTTAACGTTTGCGAAAAAAATTATGATAAAAAATGTCGTTTAGTTGCTAACGTTGCATTTATCTCGTGTTATAGTTTAAAAGCGACCTTGCTTGCTTGTTTATTTCAAGTCAATTGAATGACTGAGAAAATTAATTAATATGCATTACGGTCATGGACCCCTTTTTATTTATAGATTGATAACCTCTAATAATTACTACTTCAAGGTATTTTGCTTAAATTTCTGTTGACAATTCACTATCTGAGAAATGAACTCAAAAAACAATTAACTTATGTTCAGTTTATAAAATGTTATTGTTATATTTTAGGTACTTTATACTTGTATTTTATTTATTTAAAAAGGTCGACCTAAAACTGTTCCATTTTAATATACAAAATCTCTTAATAAATATCTTATTCTAATTGCAAAATTACTTAAAATATAATAAAATGGTTGAATTTCGACAAGACACGACACTTTATAAAAATGTATTAGAATTGAAAATTTAAATTGAAAATTGAAAAGTATTTATTGCAACAATACGACTAAACAATTTATACATGTCAATGTGGTCCTAGCTCCTGTAAAAAGTTAACCTGAGCAACAGGAGCTATGTGATGGAACATCCTATATTTAACAAGGTTTTGTTGAATAAAAACACAAAGAAATATAGTAGATACGTGTGAGCGTGTGTGTTAGTGCGTGCGCGCGCGCGCGTGTGTGTGTGTGTGTGCGTGTTAGTGTGTGTGTGAGAGAGAGAAGGAGAATCATGCGTGCATGATTTTGTATTTTTAAATTTGTTGATTTGTATGATTGCCTGAATTAATCTATCATAATTATAATATTAATACGTGAACATCGAAAATTGTCAAATTTCGTTTACTTATAAGCCAATGCTTGACTACAAACCGTTTGCTGTGTAGCGGCGGTATAAGATTATCTACTACCACATATCGTCTCTTGGGTATCGCATGAGGCGATAGAGGGAAACAAACCAGATGGGCAGCAGCGTTGTCCTAATAACAACGAAAATTAAAAAAAATACAACCGCGGTTGTTGACCCGCCTGCCTAGCGTTGCAACTATGGCAAATATCCCGCTGAGGCAATCTATGGGGGAGGCCTATGTTCAGCAGTTGTTTTGGTAAGCTGTATCGGTAACGGTACCTTAGTATATTTTGAAAATCATTAGAGCAATGTGATTGACTACTCCATTTCATTCTCCTAATTCATAATAATGTAGAGATTTATATACTCAGCTGTAAGACGAATTTAGGATGTTTATGACTTTACTAAATGATTATTTGTAATTCCGCTCTTGTATCACTATATTATTTTGAATTTCAGTTTAATTTTAATTAACTTATATACCTTACAGTTAAACTGCTGTGGAGTTGACAGTTACCTCGACTGGGGGGATGTTCAAACCCCTACCGGCGTTCCTGGGATCTCTGTCGCTAACGTCACGGTGCCAAACTCCTGCTGTGCGGAGTCCCGCTACACTATGGTCGAAGATGTAGAGATTGCTGAATGTACTAAGCTGTATGCAAACGGATGCTTGCCCAGGGTTATTTACTTGGTGTACCAGAGCGCTGGTCTCCTGGGTGCGGGAGCAATGACTATTGCTTTTATTCAGGTATAGGTCCAAATTCAAATAAATTCTTTTTCGTTCTATTTTATAAAAACTAAAGGAACATACGAACTTTCAATCAACTATAGTAAGTGGCTATTACAGTCCATGGACACCTGCAGTCAACCTCAAGCAAAGAGGACTACATATGCGTTGCCATATCTGAGGACAAAGATGGAATGACTCATAGCCTGTAATTATGATGGATGTCTATATTCTTCAGACCTGAACACAAAAGTGCAAGCACTCATATTTAATCCCACTGATTTACACGTGGTAGAGCCATGCTGCAGCTATATTAATAGTATAGTTGTAGCACGAATGGGTCGGCTCGACCGGGGAAGGACCACGCTCTCACAGAATACCCGCGTAAAATAGCAGCTTAATGCTGCTGTGTTTCGTATGGTGAGTGTAGAGAAACGGAGACTCATTTTACTGGAAAATAGGCAATCTATCTTAATCCTCACGGGTGACAACGCATCTGCATTTTAATTCGCAAACGAAGATAGATGTAGATGTCTATGGGACACAGCAACCACTTACCATCAGGTGGACTGTGTGCTCGTATGTCACCCTTATTCTATAAAAAAAAACATAACAAAATTAAGGCTTACTACGTTTTCATAGTAACATTTAAAAATATTTTGCATTTCAATATAATGCATAATGTATATAAACCGATTCAGCGTTTTTGTCGCAAGCTCGTTTGTTTCCTCTTGTATAGAAAATATAGTTATGAATGAGAAAATTTATTTTGAGATTAATATTACGATGGATCATAATCATCATCATCAATTCTATTGGCCCATTTCCTTGGCATTTCCGATATTACCAGAAGCAGCGGCGTCCACCAAAGCAAAAAAAGTCACACCTCCTCCTCTGCATTTTACCGCAATTTAGGTAAATTCGGTAAAAGTTTTCCATACCTTTGTTTAATATTTGTATTTTTTGTTTTTTCCTTATGTTTTTTTTTAATCAATAAAACAATACAATGTATTTATATATTTATATTTTCAAAAAGTGTGTGAGTGCAAATTATTGCTATTTTAAGAACTTCAATAGTCTTTATATTTTAATCAATAGTATTCAGGAAGAATTCAACCCTATCTAGTCTATCCAGGGTGCAACTACCCTAGAGGGGGCCTATTGTCAGAAGTGGACTTTTGATAGGCTGTTTGGATATTCATTTATTTCTTAATTCGGTGTGAAGTGGCGTTATAAGAGAATACGATACTTTATTTTTCAATTTTTTAAATTATTAATTAAGAATTGAAGCTTACCCCAATTACTAAATGGGCGAAGCTATTCGCTCGCTTAGTAATTGTGGTTAAAAAATGTGCTGACGTCAGTATCTTTTTTTCAGATCATCGGTATTATTTTCTCGTTCTCGCTCGCCAATTCTATCCGCAGAGCAAAATCTGAACGTGAACGCCGACGATGGGAGATTCAGGAGCGCATGATCAACGCATACACCTCACTGAACCCAGACAACGAGAAGGCAGCGCCAGTTGTTTACGTTCCGTTCCACGGACAAAACACTGCTTAAGAAACATGTTGATTGCCTTATTTTATATATTTGATAATTTGGTTTAACATCTACGTCACAGATAATTAGTCACTGGCAGCTAGCTGTCATATTTTTAAAAACTACAAATTGCTTAAATTTATCGATGCAATTTTCTAGCGCGGCAATCGTAGATTAAAAAAGAAATGTAAGTGGTTCTTTTAACATGCTTTTCATCTTTATAAACATCAATACGATAAGTAATCATTAAATATTAACCATCCTAAAGTTGACGCTAAGGCTTAAATGAGGTATTTTTGATACAGGTTAGATGAAATCTGAATACATTTTCTTGTCCACGTAAACTGTTTTAGTTCAGCACCGGCTTATTTTATTTCAACAAAAATAAAATTAAGTATTAGCTAAATGAGTATTTTGTACTTACAAACATTATAATTATATTACTTTAAATAAAATGTAACGTATTTTACAACAATGTAAAGTATTTTAACAGTATTGTTATGCAATAAAAGTTTTCTTGAATTTACAACACTTAACGATTTTTATTTATATCCATTTGATAACGAAGTAACCCCACTTTGCTACAATGATCGTATTCATCCATCTAGACAGGAATAGCCTCTTAGAGTGAGAAAAAAATCTTAAATCAATATAATAATACACCTACAATAGCACCTTTAAATATTATTCATTAAAAATATCCGTAGTCCATAAGCAAAATATAATCGATTTTTTATATTTTCATACGAGGGCGGCACTGAAAATTTCAGGAATCAAGGAAGTGACACAACATTACTATTTAAAAATGTATTTATTGCTTTTCGAAGTATTCTCCGCGAAATTTGACACATTTTTCCATACGATGGAACCAATCATTGAAGCAACCATTCCATCCGGAAGTTGGGGTCTCCAAAATGGCCGTTTTGTAGGCGTCTACAGCTTCTTCAGGTGATGAAAATCTCTGTCCACGCAATTTATTCTTTATTTTAGGGAAAGGATAGAAATCATTAGGGCTTAGGTCGGGGCTGTACGGCGGATGGTCTAATAATTCTATGTTTTCTTGCTCTAAAAACTCTTTTGTTCTGTGTGCGGTGTGAGAACTCGCATTGTCGTGATGGAGGATGATGCGGCGGTTGCAGTTCTCTTTACGGAGTTCAGAAACGACCTGTGGCAAACAAATGCTAGCATACCATTCTGCATTAATCGTTCTTTGTCCCTCAAGAGGAATAGTCGTAACATGGCCGGTTTTGGAGAAAAACGTGGCCATCATTTTTTTTGCAACACTCCGTGAACGAACAATTTTTGTTGGCTTTAACTCATTTTCGAACACCCAAACTCGTGACTGGTTTTTTGTTTCGGGTTCGTATACGTATATCCAGGATTCATCACCTGATACGATGGTGTATATTTGAGGATCAGGCGTGGAATCTTTCGAGAGTTCTGACGCACCAAGTAACGCGAGCCGCTTTTTGCTCTACACAGAGCGAATGCGGTATCCATCGGGAAAACAACTTTATTACACCTAATTGTTCATGCAAGATTATTTGTATTTGACTCATGCCAATGTCTAAAGTTTAGTGCAGCCTATGTACATTTAGGTAATAGATTACTGCGTAACAACCTATTATCTCAATGTTTTCATAGTAGTTTTTAAAGCACTGCCAACATTGGTCGTCAATAAGGATTATCAGCTTATAGTTTGTTATATAAATTCTCGAGTGGCGGATGAAGTGTAGGATGTCCCCCCACTAGATGGAGTGACAGTGACATGAGTGCAGGAAGTCGATGGATGCAGGTGGCTCAGGACCGTGCTTTGTGGCATTCTTTGGGGGAGGCCTATGTTCAGCAGCGGACTTGTGAAGGGCTGTAATTGTAATTGATGATGATGATAAATTAAAAACTGCCAGACATCATTAGTATTAATTTAATTAATAATGTCGTTTGACAGTTTTAACATTACTTTTAATTTTAATTGTAATATACGATAAAAGTATAAATCTCATTTTCAGCGCGAGCCTGATTGAATTGAATTTGACCCTGACATAATATTCGTAAACAATTTATGAAAACCATATTAGTTCTATGACAATTATATTACAAGGATAGATTGGTTATCATTACAATTTGTTTGTCATTCAAGATTGTGAAGACACAAACTAAATTACTTTGAAACATTCTGCGCAATTTACTGTTTTGTGTTTTCAACAATTTTATATTTAGTTTTAATATCTAGATCTAACTTTTTTTTTATAAAGTTAAGTGACAAGCGAAGCGAACCAGCAGCCCACCTGATGGTAAGGGACAGTCTGTACACCGAAAGCTGCAATTAATTTTAAACAATGAAGGCTTCACGCGTCGTCACCACAGACGACTATGATGGAATGCCTCTCATATAAATATATTGCCTCTATGTATCCTTCGGAACGAAACAAAGCAGTGTACGCACTGCTGCTTGGCTGCAGAAACAGTGGTACCAGACGGACTCCTGGAAGGAAAAGGTATTCAGTCGTATCATCTATTATAACAGCCTTATAACATCTGTTGGTTGAGCAGGTTTTGTCTAAAAACGATAAAATTCTGGATATGCTATTTAATGATGTAAGGCGGTTATTATACAGCTTTTGGTTTTGTATTAAGACGTAGGTCATTTACCAGTCTATTTTGAACCACCGACGAAAAAGAGGGCTGTTATAATATGTTTAACGTGTGTATCTGTGTCTCTCTGTGTCATCGTAACACCCAAAGGGATGAACCGATTTAGGTTTAGTTTTTTTTTGAAAGATGACTTGATCGGGAGTGTTCTAAGCTATATGATACAAGAATATCTGTTCAGCCGTTTGAAGATCATCAGCTCTTTTTGTATCGGGCTTTTTTAAATTTCTTATTTAAGTTATCTGTAAATAATTTAATGTAAATAATTTAATTAGGAATTAGGTTTGAAAGAAATTTGTAAATTTTGTCAAATCGGTTTGAAATATGTTATACTAAATAGTAACTAACTATAAATTTTAAGGTGAAAGCGTGGCCCGCGAAATTAATATTTTCTTACGTGTTTTGGAATTTGCAGGTCAGGGTCAGGTCATATGTTTAACAAAATACGATTCGCGACCGTTACGAATATGTGTTTACAGAATTATTATCATTAAAAACCCCCTAAGTTCATATAATCCCTTTGAATGCTTTTCTTGAAATAGTTATAGTTTGTCCGCGATGTACTCCTAAACTACTGAACTGATTTCAATGAAATTTTACAAACTGTGTGCAGTTTGGTCCAACTTGCGAGATAGGATAGTTTTTATCCCGATAAGTGACCCTCAATATTTTTTTATTCCGAATTTAAGAATTTTTTTATAGAAAGTGTCTTCGGTAAGGGCCGAACAACGTCTGCCTGGTCAGCTAGTAATTCTGTAAATACATACTAGTTACGGTCGCGAATCATTTTTTGTTAAACATGCAACCTGACACTGATATTCAATTGCAAAAAAAAAAAAAACGTAAGAAAATTAGAATTTCGCGGGCTACCCTGGCTCTTTCATATTAATAAAATAAAACTAGTTAATAAAAACAGTTTCTTCTCCGAACAGATGAAATTATTTTGAAACAGTTGTAGATTAAAAACACATTGACACAAACGAAGTTTTAAATTCTTATATACTCTTTGATTTTTTTTAATTACGTGATATCAACTCTACGTCGAAAATAAAAACTTTTCATTCATTCATATCAGCACAATAAAAAATAAAATTAGATTTCGAAACACGTGTTGTCCTATTGATTTATACACCGCTAGCCCCTTGTTGGAGAACGAGAATTGGCTATCGATCGAAATGGCTTGATAACTCTGATACAGATAAGCGGTATCAATGAAATGTTCTAGATTTTACAGGACGATGTTAGCGACCTGTTAAACAAAGCCGTGTTAATCCGTCAATGTTAACGACAATAGACTTGTCACGTCAGATATTGCTTTTAAGCTGATTAGCGTTAATAATATTTCTTGAGGTATGTAATATGAGCCGGCCACGTAACGCAAGTCCCACTTACAGGTCAGAATAAATCATTATTCCGTCCGTGGCGCAGTGGTTTATCGTTGAGTGACGGTGCTGACTGCTGACGGCCGCAGGTTCGAATCCCGCACAGAACATGTATTGTTACGAATCTGGATGTTTGGCCTTGTGCAATTTATGTGTAAACTGCCCTCACGGTACAGGAGAAAATTCTAGTGTAACGTTTTTATAAGTAAAAAAATAATTGAATACTGCGTACTCAGTTATTTTTACGTATAACAGTGGTAGAGTCACGCGGCAACTTTTGCTGTCGCAGGGATGGGCCGGCTCGAACCGGGGTGGTAACACGACCTTACAGAATACCAGCGTGAAGTAGAGGTTTACCTCTGCGTTTCGCTTGGTGAGTGCAGGTGGCCGGAGGCCCTTTTTACTGGAAGTGAGGCATTCCATCTTAGGCGAAAGAGAGAAACAAACCAGGAGATGGGTATAATAGCGTATTCATAATAAGAACAAAAAAATAAAAAAACAGCGGTTGCAAACCCACCTGCCAAGCGTGGCAACATGGCAAATATCCCCTTATAAGGCAATCTATGTGGGGAGGCCTATGTTCAGCAGTGTAATATTAACGGTAATGCAAATTATTAAATTTATTATGTGTAATTTAATATAACTGTACTTAAGTCTACCTCCAGCTTAATCATATAAAATATATTACGAAAGAGTTCACAAAGCCTATGTTCACCGAACATAGGCTTTCCCGCTGTAGAATTTCCCTAAATCACTACATTTGACAGGTGCTTGGCCATGAAACAAAAGATGTCCGGCCGGACAAGGGTTTTCAGCCCGGGGAGGGGCCAACGCCTCGTGTGGTTACGGGGCGTGTTATGTACAGGGATATTTTTCAAAGAGTATCCAAATTTTAAATTTAATTTCATATATATTTGAAATAAAATAAAAATAATGATATACCTTTATTGCAGTTTTTGAAAATACGAGTAAATAAGGCTTATACTTTTATTTGAAATGATCCCAAATTGAATGTGATTTATGGGCAACAGCTAATGGGCTGATAATAAGGCGCCCGTAGCCGATTGAGACAAATATGTATCAAAATTCCCCCTCAAGTGTCTTAAAATTATAAAATCGTTAAGTCTTCTATACTATTAGTGCCTTTATTATTTGAAAATTCACCTTTTCATTAAGAAAATTCAATATTATTATTATTTTTATTTAAATATTGTGTTTGATTATTAATCAAACACAATATTTAAAAAGTTAAAATGGAGAGCTGACATTCTTTTTCAAAATAACGCCCTCTAAAATCAGCCCAGGACCATGGTCCTTTGCTGCACCACTGACTTCACACCGAAATTGTTTTAGTAGTGAAAGTAAAAGGTAAAAGGGTGGTACATGTTCAGACAGATTTCTTAAGCAAGAAGCGCTACCACCTAATAAAACTCTATCAAAAAAAGAAAAATTTTCGAAATCAGGATAAAACTTAACACTTTCACTGTCCGGTTTTCAGACAATAGCAATAACCTATATGTGTTGCACGGGCAGCGAAAGTGTTAAAATTAAGATTAACTTAAACATACAATCGCTCCATAGTTTTACGAGATTGCATTAGTTAAAATGCTGGCTATTCAAAAAGTTCAGAGATTTTCCCTGCCCACAAACTTACTATTATCATCGACCATGACGATCGCTTATAATTATGTTACTACATAAAATTTTATTCAGAGGTATCCAGAGGAGCAATTTTAGCAATAGATAAACGGTCTTACTCATAAAAATCAACGTCAATTAAAGAGATACTTAGTCTTTAAATGAGAATAGAAAGAGACAGGTATAGAGTTAATGCTTAATTAAGTAAGCGATACGATAATCGACGATTATAAGGCCGACAATTCCGTACTAGCACAACCACGAAAATAATTCTACTCAAAACTTTGTATACGTTCGGCTTTTCACTGTGGCTCTTCACCATCTTCGTCAACCAACAAAAATCCACTGCTGGATAAGAACCTCTCAGATTAAGAATAGCAGAATCAGAAATGTCGCACACTTCACGCTGCTGTCCGTCGCTAAAACGTGATTGTAATCTCTTTGCCGTCGACGGTCTGAGTATTTTAAAGCTGTTGTAAACGATATGATTATATCGCCATGTACTGGAAGCCATAAGACTTTTCTGGCCTTTCCTTCTTACGACACCCACGTGACGAAATGGGGTGATGAAGACTCAACTCTAAAAGTCTCATACGTCGTCATCACACGGCATCGCGGCTCTACCATCTACAAATCTATAGAAATAAAATCGAAGTATCTATCTGTAATATCATAAAAACTGACTTTTATTGAGCTAAGAGGGTTATTTGTATGATGTTTAGACATGAAGAACCGTTTTTAAAAATTTCCTTTGTCTGTCTGCCCGGACTAATCTTCGTAGTGACTGAACCGAGAACGAAAACTTAGAGATGCCAGGAGTGATCTAGGCAGTACCTAAAAACTTGAAGACTTTTTTCTTGAGAAATCGAAAATAAATGGTTTTTGTTGACTATATAGTCTTTGATGATAATTGATGACTATATAATCGAAATACCGCCACATAAAATAGATCCCACTAAGGCAAAGACGCGGTAGTTCACTAGTTAGATAATCTATACATCTATACAAACAAATGAGATTGAAGTGTCTGTTTGTAATGTCAAAATAACAACTTATTACTAAATGTGTATGAAAGTATATACAGTACTTATAACAAAGTATATATAAAAAAGTATACAGTCTATCTGTCGGTCTGTCTGTCTGTCTGTTTGTTCCGGCTAAACTCCGAAACGGCCGGTACGATTTCGACGGGAATTTCACTGGTAGATAGATAGCTGATGTTATAAGGAGTAATTTAGGCTACTTGTATTTAAAAAAAGGAATTAGGGTTCCGCGCAACATAACTAAAACCCTAAATTACACGTGGGCGAAGTCGCGAGGAACAGCTAGTATAATTATATAAGCAATTGTTCTTCATTTGTGTTGCGTTAATTGGCCAAAGTTAATTTCTGTGACGACCTACAGTAATTAGTTTGAGACTTGGATGTTTTCTGCATTAGTCATTAGCTTATGAGTATAGTACCTAACTTGACTTAGTGTTTTTTGTACACAAAATGTTGATATACAATAAGTACTCTAATATAATTTGATTTGGTATTACTTCTAAAATGAATGTAAAATTTCATTAAAAAGTTCACGTTTACGATTATGAATATTCGTAAAATAAAATAAAAATACTTTAAACAAATGTTAACGTTATTTGTTTCTATGAAATATGACCTCATTAAATTTTAAATATTAATTATGATTATCGAACGTGTGGCGTTATGGACAACGCGGCAGGCAACTCTGAAATTAGGTGTAGGTGTTAGTCGCACTTCTACGGGCTTATCGTTCTGTTTGTTTTAGCGTGCTATTGCTTTAATATAGTTGGAAAATACACATTATATTACCTTTGTAAGCTGTAAGGTGCCCTTATCAGCTTCCATCGGAATTATCAGTCGCGATAAACTGCACGAACGCGTCGTGAATTTTGTCAAGACAATAGAACGTTCTAAGTGATAATATGACGGTGAATATTCAAAACAATGAAAAAATGAAGTTCAATAAGTCAGAAACTGAGTACAATATGAAATCTGTAAGATTTTTGTTGTTGACTATAACTACGATGTTTATTGTAAGTATTCAAGTGATATTTGTAACGAGGTTTTATTTCACTATATTTTTTTCATTTAACGCTTCCGTACTACTTTTCCTTTCACTGGTCTCATGAAAAATTGAATAATTTCCCAATAACAGATAGAAAATTAAAAAAACTGCGATTTCGAACCGACCTGCTAAGGGTCGCAACTATGGCTAATGAAAAAAGTTATATAAGTTAATAATGAATAGATGCCATAATTTATCGAGCGTTCATTGATTCATTTCATTCATTTTAAAAGGAAACATAATAATTTCGCTACAGGCTGCACGTATAGCAGGTAGACAACTTTAGAAATTATTGATTTTCAATAGCCAACTTCAATTCACACTGTTTAACTTTTATGACAGTATCCAAGGTCTTTGCACAATATAAAATATTAGCTATAGTAATGACAAATTTTACGAATTTTATTTCGTTTAAACAAAACACTGGCCCAGGCCCGGAGGGTACATAGGTGCTGCGAGTCACTTAAAACGGTAATTAAGAACAAAAAAGTAATCATAACTCAATTATATAAGGTACGTGAGAGTAATATCATAGATAATAAACCTACTATATAGGACAGGTAATATGGTCACCTTAAGCTTTGCCGCCCTTAAAACGGTAATTAAGAACAAAAAAGTGATCATAACTCAATTATATAAGGTACGTGAGAGTAATATCATAGATAATAAACCTACTATATAGGACAGGTAATATGGTCACCTTAAGCTTTGCCGCCCTATAAAACCAAAACAAGGAGGAGGACAGAAACAAAAACACAAAGTCGTATATTATTACTAATATAATATAAAAAAAAAATGGCAAACATGCTTTGCCAAAAATTAGGAACACTTCGAAAAATCAATGTAGATAAAAAACTAACTACACTACACAATGCTAAAATCGACTAAAATTGTTACTATATTCTCAACAGTCAAAACGGCGTCGAAAAAGCAGCGACCTTTTGACTATTTCTTATTTGATTGACTGATAAAGAACTATCATACCACAGAGCCACCTATACAAACAAGGCTGTAGTTTTTGAGTTTTAAGAAAATGACCATATTAACCGGATGACCATATTACCCTCACGTACTTTAGATAACAATATACGTAGTAATAAATATACGTACGTACCGTGTAGTGGCGGTGTAAGAATATCCACTACCCACATCGTCCCGTGGATGTCGTATGAGACGACAGAAGGAAATTGAAACAGGTGATAGGCAACAGCGTCATCCCGACAACAACTCAAATAATAATAAAAACAGCGGTTACCAACACGTGCGTGGCAACAATGGCAAAGTATGAGGCAATCTGCGATATTGAGGCCTATGTTCAGCAGCAGACGTTATTGATGGATGGTTAGATGATTGGTTGGCAACCGCAGATTTATTTTGTTTGTTTATCAAGAGTTGCCAATCTTCTGTCCTCCTTTCATTTCCTTCTCACACGGTGGTATCAGAATATTCACAACCTCATATTCACTATAAGTATTTTACATATTGTATAATATCATGTTGATAGAATGTTGAATAAATTGGTTCTTCAACAGTGGTATAACATAATATTTAAGTGTTTAGACAAGTATAATCTTCTATACAAAAAATAAAATTGAAGTGTCTGTTTGTAATGTCAAAATTACAGTTTTTTACTAAATGCATATGAAAGTAAATACGATACCTATAACTAAAATACAATTTTTAAAATTTTTGTCTGTCTGTCTATCTGTCTGTCTGTCTGTCTGTTTGTTCCGGGTAATCTCCGAAACGGCTGGACCGATTTTGACGGGACTTTCACTGGCAGATAGCTGATTTCATAAGGAGTAACATAGGCTACTTTTATTTTAGAAAAAGAATCAGGGTTCCGCGCAGAAGCATAAAAACCCTAACACGCGAACGAAGTCGCGGGGAACAGCTAGTAAAAAATAATTGTCTAAACATAAATCGCATAATCTACACCAAATCAAGCGTAATAAATACGATCGGATATCGAATGTCTCTGTTAAATTATCGAATTTAAGTACACAATAAATTATTTGACGAAGTCATATTATTGATGATCGACAAGGCCTTGAGCAGTGCGATGGTTCGCTCGTGGGAAGGGAATGGTGGCTGTCTTGAAAATAAACGTCAAACTTCAAAACCAAGTCGTTTTGACGTTTTATAGTTTCGTTGTATTGTGTAAATCCCAGAGTAATTACATACATACGTATGTAGTGTAAATGAATAAATGGCGCCACTGAGAAATAACGTGAAATCTCAGACATATTCATAGCGGGGGAATTTCATTTGGTTAGAAAAGTGTAGAGATTAATGTTTATTTTTATATTAATAATAATTAATATTAATTAGATTATAAATGGATAAACTAAACTACGAATATTCCTAAAAGTAGAATAATTTAAAAAAAGAGTTAAAATGTGTTAAAAATTAAAGAATACAGCTCTGAGATAATATTTTGTGTATTGCTACATACACAAGAAACCGTTTATGTGGTAGAGCCATGCTGCAGCTATAGTAGTAGTATAGTTGTAGCACGAATGGGTCGGCTCGTCCGGGGAAGGACCACGCTCTCACAGAATACCAGCGTAAAATAGCAGCTTGACACTGCTGTGTTTCGTATGGTGAGTGTAGAGAACCGGAGACCCTTTTTACTGGGAAAGAGGAATTCCATCTTAGTCCTCACGGGTAACAACGCATCTGCATTTTGATTCGCAAACGAGGATAAATGTAGATGTCTATGGGCCACAGCAACCACTTACAATCAGGTGGACTGTGTGCACGTTTGTCACCCTATCCTATAAAAAAAACCGAAAACTTTGATTGAAAACACAACTTTTCAATGATGATGACACTGTGTGTTCACCTTCGTAATAAATAAGTTCACCTCAGTCCCAACTAGCGACATCTGGTGAGCGTAAGATTATTATGCTACGGCTACACTACCGTGATATTGCAATTATTATGGCTATAATTGAAATAACACCTAGGTGTAGCCACGATTTATGGTCATAATTTTACAATGTCAATCAATATGGCATATGACGGTAGCACAGAACATTGAGTTATACAAGATCAATGGCACAGAATAAATAATACGTAGGCAATAGCTCAGCTGGCGGTCTTTTTCGCATATCAAAGACTATGTCTTGGTTTAGCTTTGTTAAAATGTAAAAGATTCATGTAGGTAACAGTAGCTGACACTCATAAAGTACAACACAGCTGTAGCTTTAACCTCCATCTTGAAAAATGTCGTATTTTCCGCCTAGTTCATTGTCATATCTAGGTAAATTCTAGTGTAATCATACGACTTCACGCGGTAATTTAATGCCATAATTATTGCGGTATACGGGCGGTAGACGTAAGGTAGTGTGGTCGTAGCTTTAACCCTGATTTTAGTTGTAGGTACCTATATGCAGCAGGTACGTGACCGGTATAAGGTTCCTGGGCCGGGCGTATCGATTATAAGCCGATGTATTTCATATTATTAATTATCTTTTTTAGGTAACAAAATATCATCATAATGAAAAAAAACATAACGCATTCCTGAGTAATTCCCACTGTTAAACGTTTCCTACTCGTATCAGAGTTACACGCACTGCTGTACACAATACACATTTCCATGTATCTTTCAGTATTTATCTAGAATCTACTACAGCGTTGCACGATTTGTCCAATAAATAAATATTTTGTTAATGATAGGATAAACGCTTGATATTATAGCATTGACAAATAATATTCGATGTACTTGTACCTTAACAATGTTACCGTATGAATATGGTAGCATTTGTGTACGCAAATATTCCCTTTTTTGTAATAAAGATGCGTGATATGGAAGCGCTGTGTTTTCGTTTATGTATTATTCCTTTTTTTGTTGTTTCTAGAAAATAAATCCATTTTTCCTTAACTTTCTTTTTGTGTGCCTTAACCTAAACCAGTTTCCTAATCAAATCAATTACGCCTGATGTCAAACAAAATAAACTTTTCCTTATTCGAAAAAACTTGTTACAAATAATGAATCTAGGTACATTTTGAGAACCCGTATTCAAAAGGATCCATACTTATTGTTAAAACGACACTATAATATGTACCTAGATCACAAATATCATAATTGTTTATTTTTTATAGGATAGGGTGACAAACGAGCAAGCAGTCCACCTGATGGTAAGTGGTTACTGTGACCCATAGACATGCACATCTATCCTCAATAAAGAAATAAAATGCAGATGCGTTGTCATCCGTGAGGACTAAGATGGAATGCCTCTTTTCCAGTAAAAAGGGTCTCCGGTTCTCTACACTCACCATACGAAACAAAACAGTGTTAAGCTGCTATTTTACTCTGGTATTAACATAATTGTGTATTATCAATGCCGTATGATTATGGCGGCGGTGCATAAGAATACGCCGACCAATTTTATTGCATAGGCATCATAATAGCCAACCGAAACCTAATGCACAAGTCGCAGCCAACTAGCTTAGTTAGCATTTAAGTTAACAGCCTAGTCTTTTTACTAACGGCGTCATTCAAACGGCCTGAATGATATTCAGGCGATACGTCTAAAACAACATTGCACTTATCTTGTAATATCATCGACAATAATTTAAGATGCGGCTGGTGTGGCCCTTGAGCCACACTAAAGTCGCTTTCATTTACATAATATAGTACATAGCTAATATTAGGCACAGACAACTTGTTTATTTAAGCTAGGCTTATTTAATTATTAAGCTAGGCTGTTAAATGTAAAGCAAGCGTCAGTTCAGTTATAGAATTTATTGGACAAACATTAAAAAAAGTCTCAGGTTTAAATCTAGAGTCCGTTTCAATTAAGTAGTCCGCGGAAAATATGCAAACTAAAGTGTAAAGTATAGAATTTAACAGCAAATGTCTAAAATCGAGAAAATACGTGGTAGAGCCACGCTGCTATATTATGGTTGTAGCACGAATGTGTCGGCTTGATCCGGGAAAGACCACGACCACGAATCTCAAAC